CGGCCCCGCCCCCCAGGCGGCCCCGCCCCGCCGGTCCCGCCGTGGGCGCGACGCCCCGCGGGCGTGGAGCCGCCGGGAGCCATTGAGAGCCGTTAAAGGCCATTAAGAGCCGTTAAAAGGCGTTAAGCGCCCTTAAAAGCCGTTAGGAGCTCTTAAAAGCCGTTAACGGGCTGAGCTGGCCATGGCCCTTCCCCCCTCCGCCACTCCCGTGCCCATCCCGGCTTCTTCCTGGTCCCTTCCTTCCACTCCCAAGAACACGGGCCGTGCCGAAACGCCGCTTTTTAATGAGCGAGAACGGTAAAACCGGGCGGCTGCGTCGGGCCGGCCCGGCGCACGTTTCCGCACGTGGGCACCGGAGTCCCCGTACGAACCGCGCCACAAGCGTTCGCTAGTGAAACGGCCACACAAACGCCTGGGAGTTTCTGTTTTTGCTTTTTTCTTTCTTTTTTTTTAAGAAAACATTGTATACAAAAAACAGAATTTTCAACATCAAATCCCTACCCTAAAAAATAGCACCAGGGAGAGTTACAAGGCCTTTAAAAACATTCAAAAAGGCATTTCCGAGGAGTCTCTCTCCTTACAACATTTTATAAACACAGTGAAAGGCAGTTCTTACAGGGAAAACACTTCAAGGAAGACTTGCCTACTACAACTTTTATCACACGAGCTTAATGCCGAGGCGACGGCTGTTCCTTTTATCTTTGTTTACTCTCTCAAAGTCCTTTTTTTTCCCCCCACTCTGTGGTAGTTAATTTTTCTTTTAATCGGACAGGAGATGTGGAGAGGAGGTGGGGTCCGTGGGGCCGACGGAGGTGGCGCTGCTTGGACACAGCCTCGTGCAGGCCACCTAGGGCCCCCACTGAGGTGACCGGGACAGGGTCAGTGTCAAGGTGACCAGGACAGGGTCCCCGCAGAGCTGACCCAGGCCAGGCCCCGGCGGAGGCGACCGCAGGCTCCGTATAGGAAGTGGAGCATAAAATCAGCTCCTTGGAAGGAAGGAAGAGAGGGAAAAGGAGGCTCTGGCCTCAGGAACACCAGGGCCCAAGTCCCCC